GAGAGACCAGAGAGAGAGAGACCAGCGAGAGAGACCAGAGAGAGAGAGACCAGCGAGAGAGACCAGAGAGAGACCAGAGAGAGACCAGCGAGAGACCGGAGAGAGACCGGAGAGAGACCGGAGAGAGACCAGAGAGACCAGAGAGAGACCAGAGAGAGACTAGAGAGAGACCAGAGAGAGACCAGACAGAGACCAGAGAGAGACCAGACAGAGACCAGAGAGAGACCAGAGAGAGACCAGAGTGAGACCAGAGTGAGACCAGACAGATAGACCAATAAGTGAGGTCAGGGGGATGTATATGTGTCCATGTGTTATCAGAGCGACGAGTGGTTTGGAGGAGGCTGTATCTGAAACGCTGAGAGCTGGAGATGAGAGAGCCAGAGGAGGCCAGAGGAGGCGAAAGAAGCTCCATGACCCAGCTCTGCAGCCTTCTCCTGGGCCTCGACTATCTCCCAGACACCGCTCGAGGTTTCAGATTGAAAAAGTGCTTTGATATTGGATGTTTTCCCGAGCAGATGGCAGAAACAAGGTTGAGGATGTTGATAGTGGAGGTATGAGGGAAAGTGAGGTGAGCTGACCTGTCTGGCCCAAAGGTGCTGCTGTGATAAGACCATCAGACATCTGCAGACAACATTTCCACCCTGTCATGAGAACCGGGGAAGGGGCCGGAGTCAGGGCGAGGCTACGAGACCAAAGCAGAACCGTGGTCCATGTCTTCACTGCAAAAAGTGAGGAGAAATTAGTTTAAAATGGCTCAAAATTCAATCCAATCCACTTTTTTTATATTGCACATTTCATAAATAGTTTCCAAAGTGCTGCACTATAAAATACTAATTAAAACAAATCCATAGTAAAACAATTCAAAATTAAATAGGAAAAAAACCAAAGGGACAAAGCAAAATTATGTTGTTTTAAAAATATACAAGAAATGTCTCCATTTGAAAGAGAAAATATAGCATCAGTTCTAGAAAAATAAAACAGAATTTCATATTGTATCAGTTTTTGCAGTGTGTGATGGACTAGTGCAGTGTCCCCCGACATTTCTGAGCTGCGGCACAACCACATGGTACACCATCATCATCTCCTACATGTACGTCTGGTCTTACCATGTGTAAACTCTGGTCCATCATCATCTCCTACATGTACGTCTGGTCTTACCATGTGTAAACTCTGGTCCATGGTCATTTCCTACATGTACGTCTGGTCTTACCATGTGTAAACTCTGGTCCATGATCATTTCCTACATGTACATCTGGTCTTACCATGTGTAAACTCTGGTCCATGATCATTTCCTACATGTGCGTCTGGTCTTACCATGTGTAAACTCTGGTCCATGATCATCTCCTACATGTGCGTCTGGTCTTACCATGTGTAAACTCTGGTCCATGATCATCTCCTACATGTACGTCTGGTCATACCATGTGTAAACTCTGGTCCATGATCATTTCCTACATGTACGTCTGGGTCTGATCCTAGTGGCTGCAGTTTCCTCGGTTGAATCTCCTCCGACCAATCAGAGGGCGGGGGAGGCGGGTGTTGTAGGTCTGTGTCGGTGACGTCAAGAGTTTGTGCTGAATTTGCTGGTTGTAGTTTGTCGGAGAATGCGATGGTAAAATAATCTGTTCTGGTTCAATCCAAATATCAAGAAACTGAAGCCGGAGCAAGAGGAATGTTTAGTAACTGTCATTGAAGCAAAGATGTTGTGGCTCTACTCCCCACGGGCTCCGTTAGTGGCAAAGGACATGGCTAAAGCTAGGCTAATGCTAAAGCTAGGCTAATGCTAAAGCTAGGCTAAATGCTAAAGGCCTGACTCATTCGACGCATTAAACTCAGATCTAATGGTTTCATTCTGCAAAAGGAGTTAACCCCTCCCACCTGTAGCAGAGCTGTGTTCGCATTGCCGGCAGTAAGTCAGACCTGTTCCCGGTGCATGTTGGCCTCCGACAGGGCTGCCCTTTGTCACCGGTTCTGTTCACTGTGTTTATGGACAGAATATCTAGGCGCAGCCAGGGGTCGGAGGGGGTCCGGTTCGGAGACCACAGGATTTCATCTCTGCTGTTTGCGGACGATGTTGTCCTGTTGGCTCCAACGAACCAGGACCTGCAACATGCACTGGGACGGTTTGCAGCCGAGTGTGAAGCGGCTGGGATGAGAATCAGCACCTCCAAATCCGAGGCCATGGTGCTCGACCGGAAAAAGGTGCCTTGCCCTCTGCAGGTGGGTGGAGAGGTCCTTCCTCAAGTGGAGGAGTTCAAGTATCTCGGGGTCTTGTTCACGAGTGAGGGAAGAATGGAGCGTGAGATTGACAGGCGGATCGGTGCAGCGTGCGCAGTTATGCGGTCGCTGTATCGGACCGTTGTGGTAAAGAGGGAGCAGCGTCTGCAGTCAGAGCTGTATTGGACCGTTGTGGTAAAGAGGGAGCTGAGCCGAAAGGCAAAGCTCTCGATTTACCGGTCAATCTTCGTTCCCTCCCTCACCTATGGTCATGAGCTTTAGGTAATGACCGAAAGAACGAGATCGCGGATACAAGCGGTCGAAATGAGCTTCCTCCGCAGAGTGGCTGCTCCCTTAGAGATAGGGTGAGGAGCTCAGTCACACGGGAGGAGCTCGGAGTAGAGCCGCTGCTTCTCCACGTCAAGAGGAACCAGTTGAGGTGGCTCGGGCATCTGCTCCGGATGCCTCCTGGACGCCTTCCTGGGGAGGTGTTCCGGGCACGTCCCACCGGGAGGAGGCCCCGGGGAAGACCCAGGACACGCTGGAGAGACTATGTCTCTCAGCTGGCCTGGGAACGCCTTGGGGTCCCCCCGGACGAGCTGGAGGAAGTGTGTGTGGATAGGGAAGTCTGGGCGTCTCTGCTTAGACTGCTGCCCCCGCGACCCGGCAACGGATGAAGCGGAAGAAAATGGATGGATGGATGGCACCTGTGGCAGTGGGAGGGGCTAACTCCAATTGAAAAGATCCAGACCTTAGTACAAAATGAGATATGTATGATGGTTTGGTGAGACCAGACAAAGTTGTATCACTTGTTGAAAATAAACGATACGTCATTCTCATCAACGTGTATTTGACAAAGTGCAAAAAAGTCTTACAATTCTCACATTATTTGCTTTTCTTGTTATTTTGACAAATTCGGTAATGAATAATTTCCAAGGTCACACCACATCACTCTAATGGTTCTAAAACTCTGGACTCGTGGACAATGGGCCGTCCTAGTTTAGCTCAGACATGTCCAGACTACGTCCTACATCTCTCTCTGGTCTCTCTCTGGTCTCTCTCTGGTCTCTCTCTGGTCTCTCTATCTGGTCTCTCTCTGGTCTCTCTCTGGTCTCTCTCTGGTCTCTCTCTGGTCTCTCTCTGACCTCTCTCTGGTCTCTCTCTGGTCTCTCTCTGGTCTCTATCTGGTCTCTCTCTGGTCTCTCTCTGGTCTCTCTCTGGTCTCTCTCTGGTCTCTCTCTGGTCTCTCTCTGGTCTCTCTCTGGTCTCTCTCTGGTCTCTCTCTGGTCTCACTCCGGTCTCACTGGTTGTAAATCTTGTTGGAATTCTGCCGTTAACTTTAGTTTTATGAACTGTCGTTGTTTTTAATTGTGTCACAAAATCCTGTAACTGGTGCTAATGTAGCTGGCCACATGGTTATTTGTCATTCAGCCAACTTCATCTCTGTCATAGCAACTTTTAAATCTCAGAACAGCTCGAATCCAGTCCAAACTATTTTACAATCCTGGTTGTAGCTCCCTGGAGATGAGCAGCACCATGTGTGATCAGCAACAGCACCATGTACGATCAGCAGCAGAACCATGTGCGATCACCAGCAGAACCATGTGTGATCAGCAGCAGAACCATGTGTGATCATCAGCAGCACCATGTGTGATCAGCGGCACCATGTGTGATCAGCAGCAGAACCATGTGTGATCAGCAGCAGAACCATGTGTGATCATCAGCAGCACCGTGTTTGATCATCAGCACAACCATGTGTGATCAACAGCAGAACCATGTGTGATGAGCAGCAGCACCATGTTTGATCAGCAGCAGAACCATGTGCAATAAGCAGCACCATGTGTGATCAGCAGCAGAACCATGTGTGATCAGCAGCAGGACCATGTGTGATCACCAGCAGAACCATGTGCAATAAGCAGCACCATGTGTGATCAGCAGCAGAACCATGTGTAATCAGCAGCCAAATCATGTGTGATGATCAGCAGTACCATGTGTGATCATCAGCACACCATGTGTGATCTCTGCGTGTACTTGGCCTTAATAAGTTTGAAGTTCAGTCAAATTGCGCAACATTGTTTTATTTAAAGCTGGGTTTAAACCTCAAGAAACAAAACATTTACCGGCTCTAAAACACTTCTATCGCTTTAGTTTTCATTTTTCAGACTGATCGGTCCCCGTGGAATTCTCTGTCTTCTTCTCTGACTCTTTTCTGGTTCTTTACAAATCTGTGTCATTTGGAAACGTCAGCAGTTTTACCTTCAACTCATTTCCCGCCAGAGAATATCAAGAGCTAGTTACCATAGCAACACACTGTTTAATGTCAGAAGTTAGCATTAGCATTGTTAGCTATATTTCCGTTGCTGTAGTTTTATCACTTACTAATAGTGAGTAGAGGTGAAAACAACAAACACGTGACTTTCTTTGAATTAATCTGGCAAAAAACTAAACATTGGAAGAATTGATCAGAATCCCATTGGTTTATTGATAATTGTGGGAGCTCTCGTGTTGAATGAGCTTTTTCAGACAGACGGACCAACCTCACTCAGCCAATCAGCTCTTAGCTCAAAGAGTCAAAAAGTGACTCCCAGGGATCTTTCTTACCAGTATGTAAACAATAACATGTAAGATGATGTTGTGGTCAAATCTGGTCACATGTTAGTATTACAATATTACAGCACTATATCTATGTGTTATTTATGGGGGGGGGTTAGGTTCCTCAGCTTTAAATGCAAGTGTAATGTTTTCTTCTGAAGATAATTAGATAAAGCTACATCTTTTTTTTGCAGATATCTCGCCAAACTCTCGTCCGTGGGAAGCATCAGGGACGAAGAGACGTGCGAGAGGCTGCGAGGACTCATCCAGAGACAGGTAACTGCTCACGCCCCCTGGTGGCCGAGCGTGATTCTGCATGAACACAGCAGTTAGGAACCAGAAAGAGAGACCAGAGAGAGAGACTCGAGAGAGAGAGAGACTATAGAGAGAGACTAGCGAGAGATTCAGAGAGAGATCAGAGACAAACCAGAGAGAGAAACTAGAGAGAGTGTTGTTTTAGTACATTCTGACTGCCGCAGTCTGTAAACATGTGGCCAAAAGTGGTACTGCAGCCTCTCCCACTCTCCCTGACTCAGGTTGCCAGATATGCAGACGAATCCAGCTGGGACCATAACAGCTGAATAGACAAGAGTTTTGTCAACAACAAATCTATAACCAACACCTTTTTCACAAAGATAGAAATCCTGGTTTTATTCCTTGTTTTGTCGTTAATGATTTGAGAATCATAACGAGACCTTTTTTAGTTCTGCGCCACATGGTACTTTACCAGTGAGATTAGCTCCACGCGGTGAGCTCTGGCGCCCGGATCACAGACTTTCTGATTGGTGAAACGGTGGAGGGCGGGACATCGAAATGAAAACAATAACAAGATTTAGAGGCTGGAAAAGTAATTTAGAAATTCAAATATCTCTGAACGACTGTTATCAGTTAAAGAAGTATTGGAAAAGAGCAGTTTATTATTATGACAGATTAGGGCCCTTTAATGATGACAGATTAGGGCCCTTTATTGATGACAGATTTGGGCCTTTAATGATGACAGATTAGGGCCCTTTATTGATGACAGATTTGGGCCCTTTATTGATGACAGATTTGGGCCCTTTGATGATGCAGATTAGGGCCTTTAATGAAGACTTGACATGAAAATCTCACATATCAATACTTTAAAACTAAAATTATCTTGTTTTTAAAAAAGAAACAAGACATTTCTCCCTTGGAAGGAGAAAATAAAGCAACAGTTCTTGAAATAAGAATTGTCCTATTGGCAATTTTTGTTTTAACACAGTCAGAATGTGTCAGATTAAGGTAAAAACCTTTTGATTCAAGCAATTATTACCTCATTATTATATCATTTTTTGCAGTGAAGCAGTAGCTCTCTGCCCTTTCTGTTTTATAAAAGTATCTCTGTGGTGGATGAAGCTCGGAGACCCCTGAGCAGTGTTTGACGGGCCCCTCTCTCCTCCAGGTGCAGATATGTAAACGTAACCTGGAGGTGATGGACGCGGTGAGGCGCGGCGCTCAGCTCGCCATCGACGAGTGCCAGTACCAGTTCAGGAGCCGGCGCTGGAACTGCTCCACCCTGGAGAGCATGCCGGTGTTCGGGAAGGTGGTCACACAAGGTACGTCTGTCAGAAACACTAAGGTTTGATGGTACCGATACTATCAAGGTCTGTGAGGAGAAGACTGTCTTTGGGGTCTATGGTCTTTCTCTGGTCTCGCTTTGTTCTCTGGTCTTTCCCTCTGGTCTCTCTCTCTGGTCTCTCTCTGGTCCCTCTCTCTGGTCTCTCTCTCTGGTCTCTCTCTGGTCTCTCTCTCTGGTCTCTCTCTCTAGTTTCTCTCTGGTCTCTCTCTCTCTGGTCTCTCACTCTGGTCTCTCTCTAGTCTCTCTCTCTGGCCTCTCTCTGGTCTCTCTCTGGTCCCTCTCTCTGGTCTCTCTCTCTGGTCTCTCTCTCTGGTCTCTCTCTGGTCTCTCTCTCTGGTCTCTCTCTCTGGTCTCTCTCTCTGGTCTCTCTCTGGTCTTTCTCTGGTCTCTCTCTCTGGTCTCTCTCTCTGGTCTCTCTCTGGTCTCTCTCTGGTCTCTCTCTCTGGTCTCTCTCTCTGGTCTCTCTCTGGTCTCTCTCTGGTCCCTCTCTCTGGTCTCTCTCTGGTCTCTCTCTCTGGTCTCTCTCTGGTCTCTCTCTGGTCTCTCTCTCTGGTCTCTCTCTCTGGTCTCTCTCTGGTCTCTCTCTGGTCTCTCTCTCTGGTCTCTCTCTCTCTGGTCTCTCTCTGGTCTCTCTCTGGTCTCTCTCTCTGGTCTCTCTCTCTGGTCTCTCTCTGGTCTCTCTCTGGTCTCTCTCTGGTCTCTCTCTCTGGTCTCTCTCTCTGGTCTCTCTCTGGTCCCTCTCTCTGGTCTCTCTCTCTGGTCTCTCTCTGGTCTCTCGCTCTGGTCTCTCTCTCTGGTCTCTCTCTGGTCTCTCTCTGGTCCCTCTCTCTGGTCCCTCTCTCTGGTCTCTCTCTGGTCTCTCTCTAGTCTCTCTCTCTGGTCTCTCTCTGGTCTCTCGCTCTGGTCTCTCTCTCTGGTCTCTCTCTAGTCTCTCTCTCTGGCCTCTCTCTGGTCTCTCTCTGGTCCCTCTCTCTGGTCCCTCTCTCTGGTCCCTCTCTCTGGTCTCTCTCTGGTCTCTCTCTCTAGTCTCTCTCTCTGGTCTCTCTCTGGTCTCTCTCTCTGGTCTCTCTCTGGTCTCTCTCTGGTCTCTCTCCAGTATCTCTCTCTGGCCTCTCTCTGGTCTCTCTCTGGTCCCTCTCTCTGGTCCCTCTCTCTGGTCCCTCTCTCTGGTCTCTCTCTGGTCTCTCTCTCTGGTCTCTCTCTCTGGTCTCTCTCTCTGGTCTCTCTCTGGTCTCTCTCTCTGGTCTCTCTCTCTGGTCTCTCTCTCTGGTCTCTCTCTGGTCTCTCTCTGGTCTCTCTCTCTGGTCTTTCCCTCTGGTCTATCCCTCTGGTCTCTCTCTCTGGTCTCTCTCTGGTCTCTCTCTCTGGTCTCTCCTTCTGGACTCTCCCTCTGGTCTCAGATCCTGTCAGACCTCTGCAGCTAAGCAGGGCAGGGCCTGGTTAGTGCTGTGATGGGAGACCTCTGGGAAAACAGTGGTGCCACAGCGGTGCCTTCCCACACATTAGAACGAGTCTGGTGTGTGTGTGAATGACTGGTTGCCTCGCTCCTCTCAGTGTGCCCCAGGGCAGTTGTGGCTACAGCAGTAGTTTATCACCACTGTGTTTGGAGAGAATGAATGACATGTGTCCAAAAATAGTTCTATATAAAACTAATGTGTTATTATTAAAGCGCTCTGTGTGTGTAGTAGTGCTAATGTTGTCGTGTGCTAATGTTGTCGTGTGCTAATGTTGTCGTGTGCTAATGTTGTCGTGTGCTAATGTTGTTGTGTGTAACAGGAACTCGAGAGGCAGCCTTTGTGTACGCCATCTCTGCAGCCAGTGTGGCGTTTGCGGTCACCAGAGCCTGCAGCAGTGGGGAGCTGGAAAAATGCGGCTGTGACCACAATGTGCATGGAGTCAGTCCAGAGGGTACGTCTGTGCCACACATTCATACACACACACACACACACACACACGGACACACACACTCAGGCTCGGTGTCAGGTGGTCACTGCTGTCTGTCTCTCAGGGTTCCAATGGTCCTGCTGCAGTGACACACACAGACACACACACTTACACATACAGACTCGCACATACAGACACGCACACTTTCACTTGCACACGCACAGACAGACACACACACACACACACACACACACAGACACACATACACACACACGCACGCACACACACACACACACACACTCACGGCTGTCTGTCTCCCAGGGTTCCAGTGGTCCGGCTGCAGTGACACACACACACTCACACACACAGACACACATTCACACAGACACACACACACACCCACACACACAGACACACACACTCACGGCTGTCTGTCTCCCAGGGTTCCAGTGGTCTGGCTGCAGTGACACACACACACACACACACACACACACACACACATACACGTTTTTGTTACCTGGTGGGTCCCTTTGACAGGGCCGTTCAGAATGGGACCCATAGACATAATCTTTTTTTACCAAGACTTTAAGTAATACAAAACAGTCAATAGAAACCAAACAACTATTTTAAAGGAATTTTATTTTAGATTTTGTTTTCGAATTGCAGTGATTCTATTTTTGACATAGAATTTAATGCCACTCCATGTCCGATGTCTAAGGTCATCTGGTGAGGCATTAATGCAGGCCAGGCAGTGAGACTTCCCAGGGACCTTTCCAGTCTGTATGAAAGGTGTCATGGTCTTCTCCACAGCCTTCACCTCAGATGCAGACCATGGCTTTCTTACACGTTCTAGGGAGAGAAATAAAAATATATTAGCAATATACACTCCCAGGGTGAGGACCAAGCAGCCTGGCTGTAATCCCCCACCTGGTACACTTACCAGAAGGGGCACTGCCACTACCATGGGGTGCATCTGGATGAATGGTTGAAGGTTCTCCGCTTGAAGTTTCTTTTAGCCCGTCCGTTTGTGAGAGGATCTCTACTGCTCTCCCTGTCGCACAGAAAATAAAAATACAAGTGGCCTTTAGGGGAAAAAAATCATACATATTTTAATAATATCAAGAATTACCTTCAGGCTCAATTTGTATCTGGTCGAGGCTCTTTCCTTCGAATTCCGTCACTCTTCCCTGCTCCATGGCCATCAACACTTTGCTGATTTTGGCCAGCTCCAGTGTCCCCTCTGGTAGTCTGTAATATTGCCTGTGGATGCGAATGTCATGGCCGAGGAAGTTGGCAAGTATGTCCATCTCATTCTCTTTCATATTGAGAACTGTAGACATAGTAGCTATGTGCTTTCTAAGTTTGGTTGAGGATAGCATCTCTGGATGCACCGCACCACATTCTTTGGCTACCTGGCGTAGGGAGTCTGATCCCCTGATGTGGGTGTCTGCGCCCGGGCGGGAAAAGAAGTATGGGTTATGGTCAGAGATGGAACAGGCCCTTCTGTTCTCCACCAGCACCTCCATCGAAGCAATCATTTCAGGAGTCAAAAGAACCGGCACTTTCCGACTTCTTTTCCCTTTAATTTCAATGCGTTGAAAATGCTGACACAGCTTTTTCTCAAGTTGGGACAGTCCCAGAGCAATGTCAGAATGGATCCCAGTCTTACTTCTTAAGGTAAAGGCTGTCAGTGGCATCTTTGAAACCTCACCTTCCCTTCTTCGATTGAAAATAATGACCTCACAAAGAGTCAAAACTGCCAGTTTAGACCAATGCTTAGACGTTGGCTCACTTATTAGGGTTTGCACATATTCAGGTCGACATACCTCAATATGTGCATGCATGGCTCTAACGTCCTCAGTCAGAGGGAGCAGGTCCGGAGTGTTCCACTTGGCTTGCCGGAGGGTCTGTAGGGCAGCAGAAGAAACACAGACGTCCCACCTCTTCTCAAAAAGCAGCCGGCTTCGTTGGAGGTTTTTAATAAATAGTTCATCAACACAATGCTCCATTTTTGAGTCACATTCAAGAATATCTGCTAGCTTTCTGAGGCTATGGCCGAGTTTGAGGGCCAAGGATGGAGTCTTGTATTGATTTGTTTCCTCATCATATCCAGCCACAGACCTGACTGCATCAATCACATGGTTAAAGTTGGAAGGAATAAAGAAATCCTTAATTGTTTTCAGTTTCCCTGCGGTTTTTGCTTCGTTAATTAACCTACCGACTTCTCTCATTTTCTGCCTAATGTAATCATGCTTTGTCTTATCATGCCCGTGTTTTAAGTACAGGTGCTCTCCGAGTCTCAGAATCCCCTTTTCTGCTTTGACAACACCCGTGACCTCATCCTGATGCATTGCCGAAATTAAAGACCACAGCTTTTTGCTGATGCCCTCCGGTACAGGCTGGGCTAGGGAGCAGAGGGACTGGACCCTACTTCTACCTGGTTTAGCCTGGGCATCTTTCTGTGAAAGCCGGCACCTGGCCACATGCCTCCACAGCGACTTTCGCTTAAGCAATGCCCCACAGTCTATACAGTGCAAAAACTCACTGGATTTAACTGGGGAATTTGGCTGTTTAGCTGGGACTAAAGTTCCAATGCCGGCCTTTAAAACCTCAAAATTGTGCTCACGGTTTCCACTATTCCTGATCAAATCAAACTGAAGTTTACGTGCTTTAGATTTCACAGGTAGAGCCAATGCTCTGGCTACGTCATTTCATTTCCATGTTTTCTAGTCAAATGACGGGACATTTTGTGGCAGGACATTGAACAGTAGAGGCAGAAGTGTCTCTTGCTGTATACTCGCCCCCCATTTTTCTTCTTTTGCAGCTGCATGATAACAATCTTATTTGCCTTTGGTTCGTCACTTTCCGAGTCTTGAAGAAAAGTGTTTTTGATTTTTCTTTTTCCATACTTTTTTACAGGTTTCTTCTTGACAGTTAAATCGTCAGAATCTGAGTCGACTTCATCAATTAGGGACTCTTGACTAAGCTGCACAAACAACAAATAATTTGTAATCATTCTATATAACAATTTGAAGTCATGACTTGTAGTCAGCACTTACCAGTGGTTTGTAAGCGTGCGCTTCAGTGTGCTCCTCCATGATTTCTTGCAGCCTAATGAACCACACACTTGCACCTTTTTCTAGCCTGACACCTGATTTCCTCTGTTGTGCTGCTCCATGATTGGCTCCAGCCTGCTGGACTGAAATTGCCCCAGTGTGCCCCTCCTTGATATCCCGCAACCCACCACCAGGGTTCCGACACATAACACACTTTTTTCAGGAAAGTAAACCTCCAGGGGTCCTTTCCATATTTTTACAGAGACTGCATAAGGACCGTTAGAAAAGCATTACCCATTGATTATTAAGCTTGGACCAGTGGGGTCCGGTGTTCGGGCCCCACCACGTAAAACCAGTCCCCATGACGTGAGTGGAATCTCAGGTTATGGAACCCACCAGGAGTTGAAAACAAGTGCACACAGACACACACACTCACGGCTGTCTGTCTCCCAGGGTTCCAGTGGTCCGGCTGCAGTGACACACACACATACACAGACACACAGCACACACACTCACACACACAGACACACACAGACACACACAGACACACACACACACACACAGACACACACACTCACGGCTGTCTGTCTCCCAGGGTTCCAGTGGTCCGGCTGCAGTGACACACACACACACACACACACAGACACACACACACACACAGACACACACACACACACTCACACACACAGACACACACACACACACACAGACACACACACACACACACAGACACACACACTCACGGCTGTCTGTCTCCCAGGGTTCCAGTGGTCCGGCTGCAGTGACACACACACACACACACACACACACACACACACAGACACACACACACACACAGACACACACACACACACACAGACACACACACACACACACACACAGACACACACACACACACACACAGACACACACACACACACACAGACACACACACACACACACACACAGACACACACACACACACACACACACACACACAGACACACACACTCTCACGGCTGTCTGTCTCCCAGGGTTCCAGTGGTCCGGCTGCAGTGACACACACACACACACACACACACACACACACACACACACACACACACACACACACACACACACACAGACACACACACACACACAGACACACACACACACACACAGACACACACACACACACACACACACAGACACACACACACACACACACAGACACACACACACACACACAGACACACACACACACACACACACACACACACACACACACACACACACACACAGACACACACACAGACACACACACTCACGGCTGTCTGTCTCCCAGGGTTCCAGTGGTCCGGCTGCAGTAACACACACACACACACACACACACACACACACACACAGAACACACACACACACACAGACACACACACACACACACACACAGACACACACACACACACACACACAGACACACACACACACAGACACACACACACACACACAGACACACACACACACACACACAGACACACACAGACACACACACACACACAGACACACACACTCACGGCTGTCTGTCTCCCAGGGTTCCAGTGGTCCGGCTGCAGAGTAACACACACACACACACACACACACACACACACACACAGACACACACACACACACAGACACACACACACACACACACACACACACACACACACACACACACAGACACACACACACACAGACACACACACACACACACAGACACACACACACACACACAGACACACACAGACACACACACACACACAGACACACACACTCACGGCTGTCTGTCTCCCAGGGTTCCAGTGGTCCGGCTGCAGTGACAACATAGCGTATGGCGTGGCGTTCTCTCAGTCCTTCGTGGACGTGAGGGAGCGAGGCAAAGGCCAGTCGTCCAGTCGAGCTCTCATGAACCTGCACAACAACGAGGCCGGCAGGAAGGTACAACACCACAGGCCCAGAAAATACAGTTTATTTTACCGTGCAGCCGTATGGTGTGTACCGCCTGTCCGTCTGTGGGGGCGGATCCCTCTCTCAGTGTGGCTACCCCTGAGGTTTCTCACTTGTTCGTTGAGAGTCATTTATTTACTCATTTCTATGTTTTAACAGTAGTCACCCTGCTCCCGCTCAGACCAGTGGCTTCTATCTTTTTTTATTTTTGCATTTCTTGTGTTTGAACTGTTTGATACTGAGTCGTTTTCGGCAAATCAACAACTTTGTAGTTCTCCGTCTCTACTGCTGTTGGGCTGTATATGTTGGGTCTCTCTCTGGTCTCTCTCTGGTCTCTCTCTTTGGTCTCTCTCGATTTGGTCTCTCTCTGGTCTCTGTGCTGGGCCCCGGGCAGCACAGAGCGGGACAGAAACAGACTGAACAAGCTGGTCAGGAGGGCCAGCTCCACTCTGGGCTGCTCCCTGGACTCTGTGGAGGAGGTGAGGGACAGGAGGCCCCTGGACTCTGTGGAGGAGGTGAGGGACAGGAGGCCCCTGGACTCTGTGGAGGAGGTGAGGGACAGGAGGCCCCTGGACTCTGTGGAGGAGGTGAGGGACAGGAGGCCCCTGGACTCTGTGGAGGAGGTGAGGGACAGGAGGCCCCTGGACTCTGTGGAGGAGGTGAGGGACAGGAGGGTGCTAGCCAAAGCCACCTCCATCATGAACAATAGCTCCCACTGCACAGGACTGTAGAGGAGCTGAGGAGCTCCTTCAGTGGAAGACTGAGGCACCCTCAGTGTAGGAAGGAGCGCTACCGCAGGGCCTTTATCCCCACTGCTGTCAGACTGTACAATAAGTCACTTTAAATGATCACTGTGTGAAAACCTGCACTACTATTGACACTGTTTCCAATTGACACTTGTCACTTTTGTTGTACATAATTATTGCCACTTTTATTGTACATATATATCCTGCATGTAACATGTTTGCACATTTCCTCCTTTTGCACAATCTGAGTGTCTCTATCCATGCCAAATGTGACATGTAAATTTCTCCTCTGTGAGATAAATAAAGCTTATCTTATCTTATCTTATCTCTCTCTTTGGTCTCTCTCTCTGGTCTCTCTCTCTTTGGTCTCTCTCTGGTCTCTCTCTCTCTTGTCTCTCTCTGGTCTCTCTCTCTTTGGTCTCTCTCTTTGGTCTCTCTTTGGTCTCTCTCTTTGGTCTCTCTCTGGTCTCTCTCTGTGGTCTCTTTCTATTTGGTATCTTTCTCTGGTCTCTTTCTGGTCTCTCTCTCTGGTCTCTTTCTCTGGTCTCTCTCTCTCTTTGGTCTCTCTCTGGTCTCTCTCTTTGGTCTCTCTCTCTGGTCTCTCTCTCTTTGGTCTCTCTCTGGTCTCTCTCTTTGGTCTCTCTCTCTGGTCTCTCTCTCTTTGGTCTCTCTCTGGTCTCTCTCTTTGGTCTCTCTCTCTTGTCTCTCTCTCTCTGGTCTCTCTCTGGTCTCTCTCTCTCTCTCTCTCTCTCTCTGGTCTCTTTCTGGTCTCTCTCTCTCTCTCTGGTCTCTCTCTGTTCAAAAAAAGTATTGAATGGATTTCAATAAAATAAAATAACCTTTATTCGTCCCACAGTGTGAAAATGTCAGTGTCAAACAAAACTATTATATTATTTAAGACAATAGATAATAAGTTAATGCTACAGATACAGCTGTTCCCGTTGTTCTTACGATTGTTGATTCTTACTTTTGTTGATTGTTACTTTTGTTGATTTTCTTCCATGCCGTTTTCAGGCCATCCTGTCGCACATGAGAGTGGAATGCAAATGTCACGGCGTGTCCGGCTCCTGCGAGGTGAAGACCTGCTGGAGGGCCATGCCGCCGTTCCGGAAAGTGGGCAACGTCATCAAAGAGAAGTTCGACGGAGCCACGGAGGTCGAGCAGCGCAAGCTAGGCTCCACCAAGGTCCTGATGCCGCGAAACTCCCAGTTCAAACCTCACACCGACGAGGACCTGGTGTACCTCGACCCCAGTCCGGACTTCTGCGACCACGACCCGCGGACCCCGGGAATGCTGGGGACGGTGGGGCGCCAGTGCAATCGGACGTCCAAAGCCATCGACGGCTGCGAACTGATGTGCTGTGGGCGGGGCTTTCAGACTCAGGAGGTGGAGGTGGTGGACCGCTGCAGCTGCAAGTTCCACTGGTGCTGCTACGTCAAGTGCAAACAGTGCCGCAAAATGGTGGAGATTCACACATGTCGGTGATGGACGATTGCCCCAGAAACTCACGGGGGGAACCTGAACGCCACACGACTCTCACGGCTGAGGTGGGGGCAGCAGAGAGCGGGTAGTGGGAGTGGACTGGCCGAGTGCGACATCACCACAGTGTTAGCCGTAATGCAGAGGAAGCCGGTGGGGCATTTGTTCCGACGGCCGTTTGCTAAGAGGGTTGCTAAGAGACAAGCGGGAGTTTCCCCCACGAATGAAGGCGTCTGATTGGTCAATCCTCATATGGCTCATATCTGAATTTTAGACGTTTTCACAAAATAAGCGGCAGGATCTATGTGGCTTTTGTGGTGGTTGGGGATGAGGTTTGTTCTCCTCTCTTGCCTCTAGTCTCTCTCTCTGGTCTCTCTCTCTCTGTTCTCTATCTCTGGCCTCTCTCTGGTCTCTCTCTTCTCTCTCCTTTTTCTCTCTGTTATCCCTCTGCTCTCTCTCTTTGGTCTCGCTCTGTGGCCTCCCTCTGTTCTATCTCTCTAGTCTCCCTCTTTGTCTCTCTCCCTGTTCTCTCTCTCTATCTCACGGGGGAACACGACCACCACAGTTTTAGAAGAGAGACCCCCTTCCTCTCCCCCTTCCTCTCCCCTCCTCCCTGGCCCTCAGCAGACCAGCCGAGCCCTCTGTCTGGGAGTCTACGTCAGCGTCCGTCTGTGAGCTCCGGTCGTGTTGTGTCTTTGCCGCCGCTCTCACGTCACCGTCCACGCTTCATGTTATTCTATTGTTTAACTTATTTGCTGAGAGAGAAGAAGGACACGGACACAAGGCCCTGATAACCGCCAGACGGGACACGTGAAGGGGGAGTGCTGCTGCTGCTTTGAGACTCGATGAGGCTGGATTTCAAAGGGAACGTGGGTCTGAACCAGAGCAGGCTCAGGCCACAGGGAGCAGATCTCGCACAGGAACTAAATGCAGATTATTGTGTCCCGTCGGACGACTGACTGATGAATGATTTGTATGTGTTTTTGTGTTGTTCTATTTGTTGCCCTAATGCTGCTCCACTTTGTTCATACAAATACATTGACACGTGTCTATCTCCACAACTGTCTATACTACATTTATTATATTCAATAGAGTTCCAAGGATACCAAATATACGTTGACATAAGAGAGCGAATGAGACGAGACTGAAGTAAAACCTCTTTATACACTGCAAAACATTATAAACAGGAGGTAGTAATTGCTTGAATCAAGTGTTTTTTTAATCTTTATTTCAGTACATTGTGACTGTGTTAAAACCAGTGTGGGCGGGTCCCGGCTCAAAAGCGGCCAAAATGACATGCGTCGACATGCTGCAGTACCACCCCGGGCCTGTGGGGGTGGACCCGGAATAAGAATTATTCGATGCTAACATATAGCATTAGCTGACCTCTGGAAAACGTCTTTACAGCATGGACCAAAAGTCGTCTCTTGGCCCAAAGCTCCGTTCCACATGTGTGTCAATGCTGAGTGTTCTGGACCAGTCTAGTTTAGTCGCTGTGGACTGTTGAAGTCACTCGTTTAAATGAATGGAGCTCGTGCAGCTGACGCACATTTCACATTTTCCAGCCCCCGCGGCCATTTTGAATCCCTCCATGAGAGCCCAATTTTTGGCCCATAAGTTAGAACAGCGGACATGGGCGTGACTACGTCCGTTTATATAAACAGTCTATGGATGAAACTAAAGTGTTTTCAGAGGGACCAGTTGTTTTTGGTTGGAAAGTTACTGACCCTAGCTTTAAAAGTCAACAATAAACAAGCTACACATTTTCTGGCCAGAATGGGTAAATCAGATATTTTTACATCCTCAAAATGTGTAATAATTAGCAGGATTTGAATAGATGTGTAACGAGGCTTTTCTGTGACGTTGCAGCAAACGTACAAAGTTGGAGGATTTGGTTTTTTTCACTGAGACTAAAAAAGGAAAATCTTCTACTTTAAATGAAATTAAATATTTTGTCAAACTGTATTTGAAAAATGTATTCATTTGCTGCTCCCAAAATGGTGAGCGTGACACGACCGGTCACTGGGATCTCACTCTGGTCTCTCTCTCTGGTCTCCTTCTCTGGTCTCTCTCTAGTCTCACTCTGGTCTCTCTCTGGTCTCCTTCTCTGGTCTCTCTGGTCTCTCTCTGGTCTCTCTGGTCTCTCTGGTCTCTCTCTGGTCTCTCTAGGCTCTCTCTGGTCTCACTCTAGTCTCACTCTGGTCTCTCTCTGGTCTCCTTCTCTGGTCTCTCTGGTCTCTCTCTGGTCTCTCTCTGGTCTCTCTGGTCTCTCTCTGGTCTCCTTCTCTGGTCTCTCTGTACAGTATGTAAGTCAATCAGAGCCTGAGCAAGATGCAGCAAAACTTCCTCCATGAGCACTTCTCTGTTGGCCTTCATTGAAAGCTGCCATCATTATACAGTCGAAGAGAAACACACCTGAGGAGTCCGAGCATGAGCAGCAAGCACGACTGAAGCACTTTGTCTCCGAGCGCACACACATGTTCACACACACACACACACACACACAGAGGAGACACACACACACACACCAATAGACACAAAGACACAAAAAGACACACACCTACAGAGAGTCACACACGAAGACACACACACAGAGACACAGACACACAGAAGAGACACACACACACCAACAGACACAAAGACACACACATACAGAGATTGTCACACACACCTACAGAAACACACACACTTACAGAAAGACACACACACCCAGAGAGACAGACACACACACAGAGACACACACACACACTTACAGAAAGACACACACACACACACCTACAGAGACACACACACCTACAGAGACACACACACCGACAGAGAGACACACAGAGACACTCACACACACACACAGACACACACACACACACACACACACTCAGAGACAGACACAGAGACACTCACACACACACACACACACACCGACAGAGACACACACAGACACAGAGACACTCACACACACACACACACCGACACCGACAGAGACACTCACACACACACACACACACACACACACACAGAGACACTCACACATACAGAGACACACACACACACACACACACACACCGACAGAGACACTCACACACACACACACACACACACTACTGGGACTGCATTGTGTTGGAACCATAAAGCCTTGTACCATGTGGACCTGTAGATCTGTAAACACTGAAGTCTGTTCTGCCGATGAATGTACCATGTTCTGGAATATACTGTTGTGTCAAGATGTGTGTGTGTCGTTCTTTGTGTGTGTGCGTCTGTGGGGATTGAACCAAAGACATCTCTCACACAAGGAGAGCAGAAAGCAACGCAAAAAATGATACAATATGAAGTAATAATGACTTAAATCTTATTATTGACCCATTTTGTCGTTAGATTTGAGCATTTTGACTTTTACTCACTTTTTGCAGTGTAGCCGTTCATTTTGGGGAGATCCAGGCACATTTTATCATTCTTTAGTCCATGGTCTCGTTTAACAGGGAATGGGAAAATAAAACTGACGTACCTCAGTGTGAACAGGGCACGTTCACGTCAAAGTTGTCGAAAACCCCATTTTAGCCTCATTCCCACTGCAAAAAAACACACCATTTATGACCAAAACCCACAGGGGCTATTTCTGACACTGAGCAAGACGGAAACTCAGTCCTGGGTCTACAGCCTCAGTCCTGGATCTACAGCCTCAGTCCTGGATCTACAGCCTCAGTCCTGGGTCTACAGCCTCAGTCCTGGGTCTACAGCCTCAGTCCTGGGTCTACAGCCTCAGTCCTGGATCTACAGCCTCAGTCCTGGGTCTACAGCCTCAGTCCTGGATATACAGCCTCAGTCCTGGATCTACAACCTCAGTCCTGGGTCCACAGCCTCAGTCCTGGATCTACAGTCTCAGTCCTGGATCTACAGCCCCAGTCCTGGATATACAGCCTCAGTCCTAGGTCTACAGCCTCAGTCCTGGATCTACAACCTCAGTCCTGGGTCTACAGCCTCAGTCCTGGATCTACAGCCTCAGTCCTGGGTCTACAGTCTCAGTCCTGGGTCTACAGTCTTAGTCCTGGGTCTACAGCCTCAGTCCTGGATCTACAGCCTCAGTCCTGGATCTACAGCCTCAGTCCTGGGTCTACAGTCTTAGTCCTGGGTCTACAGCCTCAGTCCTGGATCTACAGCCTCTGTCCTGGGTCTACAGCCTCTGTCCTGGATATACAGCCTCAGTCCTGGGTCTACAGTCTCAGTCCTGGGTCTACAGCCTCAGTCCTGGGTCTACAGCCTCAGTCCTGGGTCTACAGCCTCTGTCCTGGATATACAGCCTCAGTCCTGGGTCTACAGTCTCAGTCCTGGGTCTACAGCCTCAGTCCTGGGTCTACAGCCTCAGTCCTGGATCTACAGCCTCAGTCCTGGGTCTACAGCCTCAGTCCTGGATCTACAGCCTCTGTCCTGGATATACAGCCTCAGTCCTGGGTCTACAGCCTCAGTCCTGGGTCTACAGCCTCAGTCCTGGATCTACAGCCTCAGTCCTGGGTCTACAGCCTCAGTCCTGGATCTACAGCCTCTGTCCTGGATATACAGCCTCAGTCCTGGGTCTACAGTCTCAGTCCTGGGTCTACAGCCTCAGTCCTGGGTCTACAGTCTTAGTCCTGGGTCTACAGCCTCAGTCCTGGATCTACAGCCTCTGTCCTGGATCTACAGCCTCAGTCCTGGGTCTACAGTCTCAGTCCTGGGTCTACAGCCTCAGTCCTGGGTCTACAGTCTTAGTCCTGGGTCTACAGCCTCAGTCCTGGATCTACAGCCTCAGTCCTGGATCTACAGCCTCAGTCCTGGGTCTACAGTCTCAGTCCTGGGTCTACAGCCTCAGTCCTGGGTCTACAGTCTTAGTCCTGGGTCTACAGCCTCAGTCCTGGATCTACAGCCTCAGTCCTGGATCTACAGTCTTAGTCCTGGGTCTACAGTCTTAGTCCTGGGTCTACAGCCTCAGTCCTGGATCTACAGCCTCAGTCCTGGATCTACAGTCTTAGTCCTGG